TGTTGCTTCCAGGCTTGGTCATCACAGAGACCTCAGGGCACTGGGACAGCAGTGGGTCAACTTAGGAAGTCCTGCTGCCATCTGCCTTCCAGTAGTACCTCTGCACCCCCCAATTTGGGGGATGTTAGCAGATTTCCCAGTGAAGTTATTCAAGTTGTGGGTACCTATTAAAAGCTGTAGGCAAAGCAGGTTCATTCTTGGCTTCCTTTGGAAGAGTTTTCTCAGCAGAGACAACGGTATTAACACGTTGAACAAACCTTACCAACCGAAAGTGAAATTAACTGTATCTACCCAGAGTGGAATACCTGCTTGGATGTCAGATTGTAAACGGTGTCCATGGCCTTAAATGAGTAAAAAAAAAAATCTTACATCTTTCTTTTCAGGCCGGATGGAAAGAAAATCATGCAACATTTATGAATGAACTGAAAAACCTTCAGGCTGAAGGACTTACGACTCTTGGCCAATCCCTAAGGACAGCTTTTGATTTATTAAATTTAAATAGATTAGTAACTGGCATAGACAACTATGGGCAGGTAGGTTGAATAATAAGGTGGAGAAGAGTTGATTTTTTTTTTTCTTCATTTGTGCAAAAACACAATCCAGTCCAAAGATATGTAACGTGAAATGCAAGTATAAAACATACCAGGTGAATGAAATACAGTGTGCACATAGTTCAAAACACCTACTGTATGTAATTTTATATCCCTCATCTCCCCCTTTAAATGTATTGCACTTAGAATTAGAATCTGAATTCTTTGCTAGAAAGTTGACATGAATTTGGTTTTCAGTCCCTCAAAGTTGATTAAAGATGGGAAAGGGAAAATAACACACCTGTCGGAAGCTCTGCAGGCAGGCACATATACAGCTGTTGTAATGCCTGACAGATGTGCTGTTTTAGTATTCACCTCTTTTGACTTTTTTGAGACAGGGTCTCCTTGTAAGCCCCAGCTGGCCTGGAACTCGCTATGTAGACCAGGCTGCCTTCAAACTCACAGAGATCTGTCTGCCTCTGCCTCCCAAGTGCTGGGATTAAAGGCGTGTGCCAACACTCCCAGCTTGTATTCACTTCTATATTAGTCTAGATACCGGAAAAAATTGTTGTATCAGGGTTTAGGTATAACCTCTGAATGGTTGGTAGGATTTTCAGTAGGGTCCAGTAACTGACTACATACATACTTCTTTTTTGAGGGGTATACCATTAGCAGGTCTTAGAGGAGGAATTCTGAAATAAATGGCAGGTCCTGAAGTTGTTTTTTTAAAGTTCCCAAACCCTTGTATCTTGCCTTCATCTATTTGAAGATGAGGTAAGAGCGTCATATCACAGTCATTCACCAAGGAATAATGTGAGGTGTGATCCATTACAACTTTTAAGGCATTGCTATCCTAAAAATAACAGGATACTAAAGAATATAATGCTGCACGCAAGAAAGGACTATCACACCCAGGAATCCAGTTTTTATGCTGCATTGCAAAGCACTATTACCATATTGCCGTATTTAGGAATATATATTATGTACTTTTCTAGAGTTCAGTGATCCACAGTTTTCATGAATTTCACACATTTCAGGGAAATTCTGTGAATTCACAAAATTTATATAGTAGGAAACGAATTGTTCCCTTAGAAGTTTTGTGCTTCCTTTGGGATAACTAGCACCTTTAAGCATCTTTAGTTATAGTTGAACCTAGTCCCCTAGTGTTTCTAAATTGTGTATTGCAGTTCAGAGACGTCTCAACACTTCCATCATTTAATTAGGTGAATATCTTTTTACCACATTTATTTTTTTCCTTTTCTGTTTGCTGCTTTATTTTGTAGTTCTTTACCACTTGTTGGTCAGTTTCTGTGAAATTATCTTCGTTCCTTAGTTACATGTAGTGCTATATACCATCTCTTATTGCTTGAGGTTTTAGTCCAAAGTGAGTTCAAAGACACATAAAACTTGGTTGTCAGGTTGTATGTTGCAGACGTTAATTTCCCGTTTTTCTGCATCGCATTTCCTAAAAGGGAAGGGCATTTATATACATCCACCCTGCCACATATTTAAAATGCTGCTTAGGATACTTCCTTCAAAAAATGGCTTATCATGGAGGATTGAGGGTATTACACACTTTAATTGTTACGTGTGAATCTTTTAAGAAGTATGGGTTTGGGGTGAAGGCAGCCCTTCTGTGCTTCATCACTTTGACCAAAAGAAGAGAGCCTGGAGATAAGGATGTTTTTGCTGGCTGGGGCTTACTGACTTGACAACAAGCAGGGATAGTGCTTTGCAGTCAGAGGAAAACATCCTTCCAGATTTTTTTCATCATAAAACTTTTTTATTTATTTAAATGATTGGTATTTTCTATTCTTACAAAGGATAAACTATCAAGGAATTTTGGAAGACTGAAATAATTAACATTAAATATCATTTGTATGTTTTCTTTGTAAAAGCATTTTGTGTGTGTATAATAGCTTTTATTCTGTAACCTCATTGTTTTCTATGTAAATATTTCCTGTTCTGTACTAGGATCTGTGAAGGCCACAGTGCTAAGTACTTGGGTATAGTCCTCGTTGACAGAAATGGGAAAATGTGGGTTTAGGTGGAAGATAACATGTCAGTTTTAGAGCATCTATAAAACTTTATATAGTTCCAACTTTCTTAATATCTGTGGGTTAAATGTCTGCACAGATGTGGCCTACCCTTATCATTTGTGTCACTGGCCTGACTGTGCACCCGTATGTGGTATAGCAGTACTGATGAGTGTTTAGAATGGAGCCTGTACTACTGTGTGTGCTTGGTAAAGATAATCCTTGGCAGGTATCTTGAGAAAAGATAAATACTTAGTGCTTTGAATGATTTTAATTTTTTTGAGACAGGGAATTTTTTGGGGGGAGGTGGAGGAGTGGGGGCAGGGACAGGGTATCATAGCTCTGGCTGGTCTGGAACTCACAGTAGTTGAGAGCCACCCTACATACAGGCTAGACTAACCTGGAACTCAGAGATCTGCCTGCCTCGACCTACAGAATGATAGGATTGAAGGTGTACACTATCACACCCAGCTTGTTGAACAATTCTTAAGGACAGTAGTTGTTGTTGAGTTTAGGAGGGTTTTTGTTATTGTTTTACCAGTGTATTAGGAATTGAATTTAGGGTCATATACATGCTAGGGAAGTGCTCTGTCACTAAGCTATATTCCCAGCCCTCTAGGATTTCTTTTTATGCTTTGAGTATTAACTCCTGATCAGATAAGTCATACATTGTTACCATTCTGTTAAAATTTTACTCTGTTGATTATGTCCTTTTTGTACACAGAATTTAAATTTTACTTTTTTTTTGCATGTGGATGTCTGGTTCTCCCATCACTATTGAAATGATTGTCTTTCCCACAGAATAGTCTTGGCAAATCCCTGAACTTTTAAGTCCTCTCAAAAGTATTTTTTAACAGTTACTGGTAGAGAAGAAGACTTTACAGTTAAACTTAGTATTTCTTCCTAGTATGTATTACGAGCAGTGGCTAGAAACTGGAGAATTAGAATCACCATCTTGACTTTGTCACTGAATACTGTGTACCATTAAGCAGTCACATACTGTGTCTGTGCTTCTTATTCCAAGTGAGCAAAATGTAGCCCATATTATAGAATGGATGAGTGGTTTAAGTGGGATATGTATTTAAAATGTCCCTTTAAAATTATGAAGTGCTTAAGTAGACATAAAACATACTTTTAGAAAAATACAGTAGTTTACTGTTTTTTAAACTTTGTCTGAAATTATGGTTATTAAAAATCTAGTGAGCTTTGAAGTTGATTATTATTACCTACTTTAAAACCTATTAGCATACTGAGATATTTTTTTTTAACCCTTGGATTCTGTATTTAATCCTAGTGAAGCAGGTGAGAGTGAAAAATAATACAACTTTGCCGAAGTTGTAATGCCAATTGCTAAGCATGAGATTGTATTTTTAAAGGAATACATTAGTGAAAACATGGCTTTTTTTGTGTGTGTGTCTTTTTGAGACAGGGTCTTCCTATAGCCCCAGCTATGTAGACCACCAGACTGGCCTTGAACTCCCAGAGATTGCCTGCCTACTGAGTGCTGGGATTAAAGGCATGCACCACCATACCTGGCAAAAATATGGCTTTTTTTTTTTTTTTTTTCCATCTTTTTGAGACTGGGTCTCCGAGTAGCCCCAGCTGGCTTGGAACTCTCAGAGATCCGCCTGCCTCTGCCTCCTGAGTGCTGAGATTTAAGTCGTGCACATTTTTGGAGGGGGGAGTTAAGCCTGGATGCCGTTTAGCTGTCAGATTAGAAATGTGACAAAAGCCTATGTTGTCCTAGGATTATACCAAATAGGGAGCTCCCCCTAGTGTGTTCACAGTGCCTTTTACACACGTTTGGTTTGTGATGAGCTTCTTAGGAAGCATCTATATTTGAAAACACTACAGTATTATTAATTTTATATGGTGAGTCTTTCCTAAATACTCAAAAAGTTACTTGGTTATGGTATTTCAAAAGAAAATGAAAAAAAAGTTATCCAAAGGACATCATTGCATTCTTAATGAGTAATTGTCCAAAATGTCTTCAATATAAAAGACAAAAATACAGATTTTACTTGTGCTTCAAATATTTTCTCTTCATGTAAGAATGCCAGTAACTATATGTTAAATTATATATAATTGAAAATTAAAAGACCAGTAACCCTGAGATTTTAACAAAAGTCCTCCACTTGTCAGGTATTTTGAATTGATTTTAAATTACTTGTGGTCAGAACTAGCTAAAAATTATTTGGCCTTGTTCATTATGTCATGGATTCTTCAAAGAGATTACATAATTTGTAATTTGAAGTATTTTTTGAAATATTTAAAATTATTTTCAACCATGTTAATTCTCTTATTTTAAAAAAATTGTGTGTATGAGTGTACTACCTGCATGTATGTAAGTGCACCCATGTTGTGCAGTGTCAGAAGAGGAGTAGGATCCTCTGGAACTGGAGTTTAAGACTGTTGTTAGTTGCCATGTGGGTGCTGGGAATTGAACCCAGGTCCTCTGGCAAGAGCAGCCAGTGCCTTTAACCTCTAAGCCCTCTCTCCAGCTCCACATTTTTACAGTAATTAAAATGTGTTGGTGGGTTTTTTTGGCGGGTGATTTCTTTGTTGACCAATGCTCATACAATGGCCCTATTTCCTCTATTTTTTTAAAAAAGTAATTTCCTTATGTAAATTATTATATTTATGTAATTTAGGCGTGTTTTACTGACTGTAAACATAACACAGAAGAATTTTTGGGTTGATTTTTCTTTACTTTGTTTCCTTAAAAAGTTTTTTTTGTTGCATTTATTTTTGGAGGGTGCTTGTGCATAGTGTGCATGTGGAGGTCAGAGGAAAAGTCAAAGAATCTGTTCTTTCACCATGTGGGTCCTGGGGATTAAACTCCGGTTGTCAGGCTTGGCAGCGAGTGCCTTTACCAGCTAAGTCATCTTGCCAGTCCCTCCTCGCCATAATTTTTTGAAGCAAGTTCTTATGTATTACAGGCTGGTCTTGAACTCACTGTGTAGTAAG